CCCACTTAAAAAGATGAGAGAGGCCTGTAATTGGCATCATAGGTAGACCTCAACTATGAGAGACAAAATGAGTAAAATAAATCCAGACAATCACATTGGCTGATTTGGAAAGAATTTATTTGCAAATTATGGTGGAAAATAAGTGTTTGGTCAATATGAAAAGTTCATCTCAATACTTTGTTATATAACCTTTGTTGGCAATGACAGAGGTCAAACGTTTCCTGTAAGTCTTCACAAGGTTGGCACACACTGTTGCTGGTATGTTGGCCCATTCCTCCATGCAGATCTCCTCTAGAGCAGTGATGTTTTGGGGCTGTCGCTGGGCAACACGGACTTTCAACTCCCTCCAAAGTTTTTCTATGGGGTTGAGATCTGGAGACTGGCTAGGCCACTCCAGGACCTTGAAATGCTTCTTATGAAGCCACTCCTTTGTTGCCCGGGCGGTATGTTTGGGATCATTGTCTGTTGGAAGACCCAGCCACGTTTCATCTTCAATGCCCTTGCTGATGGAAGGAGGTTTGCACTCAAAATCTCATGATACATGGCCCCATTCATTCTGTCCTGTATATGGATCAGTCGTCCTGGTCCATTTGCGGAGAAACAGCCCCAAAGCATGATGTTGCCACCCCCATGCTTCACAGTAGGTATGGTGTTCTTTGGATGCAACTCAGCATTCTCTCTCCTCCAAACACGACGAGTTGTGTTTCTACCAAACAGTTCTATTTTGGTTTCATCTGACCATATGACATTCTCCCAATCCTCTTCTGGATCATCCAAATGCTCTCTAGCAAACTTCAGACGGGCCCGGACATGTACTGGCTTAAGCAGGAGGACACGTCTGGCACTGCAGGATCTGAGTCCCTGGCGGCATAGTGTGTTACTTATGGTAGCCTTTGTTACGTTGGTCCCAGCTCTCTGCAGGTCATTCACTAGGTCCCCCCGTGTGGTCCTGGGATTTTTGCTCACCGTTCTTGTGATCATTTTGACCCCACGGGGTGAGATCTTGTGTGGAGCCCCAGAACGAGGGAGATTATCAGTGGTCTTGTATGTCTTCCATTTTCTAATTATTGCTCCCACAGTTGATTTGTTCACACCAAGCTGCTTGCCTATTGCAGATTCAGTCTTCCCAGCCTGGTGCAGGTCTACAATTTTGTTTCTGGTGTCCTTCGACAGTTCTTTGGTCTTCACCATAGTGGAGTTTGGAGTGTGACTGTTTGAGGTTGTGGACAGGTGTCTTTTATACTGATAACAAGTTCAAACAGGTGACCAAATACTTATTTTCCACCATAATTTGCAAATAAATTCTTTCCAAATCAGCCAATGTGATTGTCTGGATTTTTTTTCTCATTTTGTCTCTCATAGTTGAGGTCTACCTATGATGCCAATTACAGGCCTCTCTCATCTTTTTAAGTGGGAGAACTGACTAAATACTTTTTTGCCCCACTGTATATGACATCATTTTGAGGCCCGTCGGCTCTTCCAAGTTCGGCCACCAGTCTTGTGATGACGCGCTGCAAAGCCTGCCCCTCTACTCCATTCTCAATGCAGCACTATACCTCCTGGTTTAAATGACGTGAATATTCCATAAGGCAAAGGTAGGGTAGTGCATGTCAATCTTTGGTAGTGCAATGCCATGTGGGGGGTTTGGGAATCTACATTTTTGTAAAAATAAAGTAAATGAACAAAACAAATTGTTTGCTCCCCATGTAAGGGGTGAAGAAGAGGGAACTTGAATACGAGGATCTGCTTTAAAGGTCTGTGGATGGCTGAAACTAATATCAAGGTCTAGCTATCAGTTACATAGTTGGTCTGACTGAAAAAAGACAAACGTCCATGCAGTTCAACCATAAACAAAAAGTTACAATCCTATACCCACAGTTGATCCAGAGAAAGGCAAAAAAAAACCCAGCAAAGCATAATCCAATTTGCTCCTGCAGGGAAAAAGATTCCTTCCTGATCCCCTGAGAGGCAATTGATTATTCCCTGGATCAACTTTACCTATAAATGTTAGTAGATAAGATATGGACCTATGATCTAGGAATGGAGGCTTTATACCACCCAAGTATTACCTTCTTCTAAAAATGTAAAGATGTTATCAGAGTTCTTTACAGTTTGACTTTTCCCTTTTAAAGCCCTGAGGAAGGGAGGCCAAAAAACACCAGAAAAGTGTTAGTTTGTGTAGTGCTACCCTCTCAGGGGCTGCTTGATAATGCTTCTCCCCAATGGTTTCCCTGGCCTTGTAAGCCTTCCGACACCTCTGACACTCTGGGTTCAGACATTTTTCAAAAGTCTGGGATAATAATGCAAAAGACAATAAGCAATGTTGAACAGGTTGTACAGTCATGAGTAGTAATCTTCATCTATTTCATTGCAACACCAGCAGCAAGAAGGAGAAGAAAAGTCTTACTGACTTATCAGCCCCCACCGTGCCACCGGCGCTGCAACAGGTCATGCAGAGAATTATGTAAATGTATATTCTGGCATAAATAGATATAACCAGAAAACAGCGTAGCGCTAAAAAAAAAAGGGAATACCAAACTAATACCTCGTGAAAGTGTGAATAAACAAAATACGTATCTCACTAAAAATCAACATGAACAATTCATAAGTGTACATATTTTGTGCTCATAAATAAATAAATTATACATATTTCATGCTCATGAATAAATAAATAAAAAAATATTTAATGCTCATAAATAAATAAATTAATTAAAATATAATCTATGAAAGTCCCATCTCCTTGTGAAAATCTGTAACTGGATACTCTTCAAGTGGTGTGTCACCCCACACTGTGCTCAGAAAAGGCTTATCAAATGTATTTGGCCCCTTACTGTTCCCAATTCAGCTGCTGATAGAACAGAGCCTTGGAGGCAAGCTGCACATGCTCAGTTAGGTGGGTATCGCTAGATAGGTTTTTTTTTTTTCTTGGGAGAGTGCATGTGATCAGCACAGGGCCAATCAGCACTGTCCAGACAAAGTAGCAGGGTTTCTGAAGCCTCATAGGAAAACCGGGGGAGAATGAAAACTCCTACAAGCTTTAACCAGTGCTCTGCTGAACACTGATAGAAGTCACAAGCCTGCTCTAACTGCTGATGAGAAAAGGTATTTAGCAGTTTATATTTACTAAAATCATTGCATTTCCATGTTCTGTGTACTGTGGGAGATCGGATATAGTGAATGCAGGGTCCTTGGTTTAATAAAACTTTAAGGAGTGTCTATAGGTAAAAGCAAACTGCACAGCTTTGACTAAAGTTGTATAATGCTCTAATGGTAGGTGTAGGCAGTGGCGTCCCGAGGCAGGTGCAGGACTCCAATCCATTATGCTCAATCCGCAGATCCGAACCATCCTGCGGGGATCGTCGGCATGCAACCTAAAGGGGGTGACACCGGATCCGCTCTATGAAAAGGTAAGTTGCAAAGAAAGCTGACGGAGTCTGATCCATTATGCTCAATCCGCAGATCCGATCCATTCTGCGGGGATCGTCGGAGGGGGTGTCACCAAGTGTTATCGCACCGGGTGACACCAACCCTAGGGACTCCCAGCCATTACTGCTTATCCCCAGCATCAAACGAGTGAGCACTCAAATCCCTGCACATGTGTGGTCCATTATTTCCTATGTCGCAGCATCACTGAGCTCAGAGGTACTGCAACAGGGGAGAGAGAGCAGGTCTGAACTGGCTAGGAGAGTCTTAGCAATGCCCTAGCAACAAGGCAGGATGAAATGGTGCCATCTCTGGGATTTTTTTAGCAAGGCTTCAGGAGGTATATAAATGGCCTACAGCTATAGCCAGGGCAGTATACTGTATAAACTTTGGTCAAAGCTGCACAATTTGTTTTCATCTACAGGCGCCCCTTTACCTGCACAGGCAGTTTTTTGGTAAAGGTGAACAAACTCTTTAAACAAGCCCCGTACATTCTGTAATGTGCTCTATAAACAGGGAACAGTTGTGGTTATTATGTTGCTGTGTATTCTCCTTTGCCAATGCCTTTGCTTACGACGCATCCTCTAAATATGAATTATAACAGCAATTTCCATGTTTATGTAGCTCTAGAAGCAGTCAGCTACCTCGATCGGGGTCAGGAGTTACAACCTTCGCTGATTGAGAATCGCAGGATTGTAACATGATGTTGATTTGCTTTCATGGATAGTTAACGCTGAACAACGCAACTACAGAGCAGAATGAATTCCCAATATAGAGGAGTTAGATTTCTGGTTCAGGCCCACTGTTTATTTTAAAGACGGACAAATTATTAGGCAGCCTTTGGAATGTGAATAGAGAAAAAAAAAATACTCATAACACGGGTGAGTGCTGGATTTTATTTCATAGATTAAGGTGCTACAAAGCATAGGAATGAAAAGTGAATACATAGGGAGGCTATTTACTAAAAGACTAACACTCTCTCTGTCTGAAATGACTCTGTATGGATTATGAATGCCTGCTCATGCACAGGGGATGGGCCTATTTGACAATAAATTTGTCATCATTTGAAGTATATGTAAACTCTCACCTTGTAAAACAACCCATTCAGGCTAAAATAAAAATGAAAGGTATAACATTTATGTGTAGATAAAAAAAACATTATAGATACTTTTTTTAAAATAAGTGATCGCATTCCCTCTGTTCTCAGCTGCATAAGTAGTTCAGAGAGAGCTGGGGGAGGAGAAGCAGCAGAACACCGATCTTCCCAGGAGTCACTCTGCACATGCTCAGTTTGGTGTGTGGCTAGAGATTTTTTTTTTCTTGAGAGAGTGCATGTGATCAGCACAGGGACAATCAGCGCTGTCCAGACAGAGGGTCAGGGGTCATGCAGGCTCAGGGGCAGACTGACCATTTGAGCACTCGGGCACTGCCCGAGGGTCCGGGGTCAGTAGGGGGCCCCATGAAATGCCCCTGGTACCTTTTTTATAGGATTTTTTTGAGTGTGGGCAAGGACACAGAGGCCCCATGATCCCCTATTGCCCGGGGGCCCCATGAGTTGTCAGTCCGTCCCTGTGCAGGCTCATAGGACAGTCAGAGCAGAATGAAAACGCCTCCTACAAGCTTTAACCAGTGCTCAGCAGGACAATGATAGAAGTCACAAGACTGCTCTAACTGCTGATGGATAAAGGTATTTAGCAGTTTATATTTACTAAAATAATTGCTTTTCCATGTTCTGTGTACTGTGGAGACCAGATATAGTGAATGCAGGGTCCGGGGAGACCAGATATAGTGAATGCAGGGTTCAGGGAGACCAGATATAGTGAATGCAGGGTCCGGGGAGATCAGATATAGTGAATGCAGGGTCTGGGGAGAGCAGATATAGTGAATGCAGGGTCCGGGTAGACCAGATATAGTGAATCCAGGGTCCGGGGAGACCAGATATAGTGAATGCAGGGTTCAGGGAGACCGGATATAGTGAATGCAGGGTCCTGGGTTTAGTAACATTTTAACTTTTTTAAAGTGTTGAAATACATTTTTTTCTATTTTGGTTATCTTATGGCTTTATTATAGGTATTTTAAAGAACAGTTCATTTATATTGTACATATATTGTACATTTACATGAGCCCCTGCCCTCAAGGAGCTTATAATCTAAAGTCTCTACCTTGCATGCAGGGGCGTCCCTAGGGTTGGTGTCACCCGGTGCGATAACACTTGGTGACACCCCCTCCAACGTTCCCCACAGAATGGATCGGATCTGCGGATTGAGCATAATGGATCGGACTCCAATCCATTATGCTCAATCTGCAGATCCGATCCATCCTGCGCGGATTGTCATCTTGCTTTACAACTTATCTTTTCATGGGGCGGGTCCGGTGTCACACTGTGCGGTAGGTGTCACCCGGTGTGGCACACACCCCTGCCTAGGGATGCCACTGCTTGCATGTTTACACCTACTAGGGCCAGTTAACCTACCAGTATGTTTTTGGAGTTTGGAAGGAAACTGAAGCCCCCCCCCCATTCTCTCAGAAAGCACAGAGAAAACATGCAAACTCCATGCAGGTAGTGTCACAGTTGGGATTCAACTTATTATCCTACTGCTGAAATGGCAGAAGTGCTAATCACTAAGTCACTGTGCTTAGTGGTTAGCATTTAATATATATTTTCTTCACGAGCAGTAAGGAAACAACTTTTTATCTTTGTATATTCCCTACTGGTTTGTTGCTGATTTGCTGATCCTAGCTGGTGTGGTATGCTTGTCTCTGCTCTGTATGCAACCATTTTTTTTTTTACATATTTTTCCCGTGAAGGGGATCTTTTGTTATCATAATCCAAAGAAGTCAACACGGTCTTTTGTCTAGACTATTAGCTTATCTCTTTTGGAGAATGTCTCTATTTGTTCAAAATATTCTCCCCTTGTTTTCTTGCTTTGCATCATAGGCGATCATTGCCTTTAATATATTATTTTATTTCATTATTTCTTTTATTTATTTATTTTTTTTTCTCTGTAAGAAGACAAGAATCAAAGACAAAAGCAATCCCTGGCATCTTTGTTCAGCTTCCATCCTCTGAACCCGGCTTCTGGGAATAGAATTGTCTTTTGTAGTAGAGCAGACAGCATGCATAATAGATAGCACATTAACAACATGCAAAATAAAAATTAAGATTTTTGGTTGTTTTTTTTTTTTTCTATTTGCTTTTAATCTCATCTGATATAAATGTCAATAAAGTTAAAAAAAAAAAATAAAAATAAATGCAACATACTTTAGGATTTGTTTCTCAGTAAACTACATGTTTTGATCTCTGTGATAAGGTCTCCAATTAAGTTGGGGGTTGAGAAAATCAGGAAGTCAGATTGCGCAAGTGAGGCCTTCTCCAACGAGAAGAAGGAGACAGACAAATCCTAATACAACAAAAGCTTAATGCTGACATTTGAGGGCAGTTTGAAGGTTTATGGAACAGAGATGATAGAACAGTACAGATGTGTTTTCTAATAAAGTACAAAGTGTTCCCAGCGACAAACAACACAGAGAAGTAATCAGTACAAAGCATGGCAAAAGTTCTATTAACATAAACAGAAAAATATTTAGTCTTGAATTAAAGGGCAGACTTTAAATGTAACTACACTATCACTACGAAGTATCCCTTTGTAGTTGTCCCAGTGGTCTCTGAAATACGTGCCAATACCATGTGTTAAGCTGGCCATACATAAGTAGAATATTGCTTGAAAATTTTCCTTTTAAAGTACATTGGTTCAATTTTCCAATTTCCAAAGGCGAGAAAATGGAAGGAGTAGAATTTAAATTTTTTTCTCGAATGAACAAATTTCGAACCACATTCGTCAAGTCACCGAATGGCAGCTTTACTTTAACTGAACGTATTTCCTGTTTCCATTGTTATTCTACAAACATTTTGTAGACCCAGGTCATTGTTCCACTTCAATGTAGAAGATATGGTAACACACCAAAGAATATGATTAGGCATTCAATAAAACATTATAAAATGTAATTCTAAAAGCGACTAATGTAAGTTCCCTAATTTGACTTGTTATCAGCCCCTTGTAATTGCCTGTACCGAAAAACACTCAGCTTGGGAATGGGAGGGACATTACTAGTCAGCTGTGCTGCATCCCAATTGACTGAAAAGGAACTTGTCGACAGGAAGAAAGAGAAGATAAATGATGCATCAGTATTCTGCTGCTATTTCACTGTCCAATCAAAGACTGGGGGTGTGGAAGTGACCAGACTGTATTGCTGAACTACAGTAGAGATGCTTCAAGTCATCAGTCCAGCTGCCATGTGTAAATCTTAGAACTCGAAAGATAGAAATACAAAGCACTTAACAGGTAAAAGAGTCCCATATATGTGCTTCAATACTGCCAGGAGTTCAGCTTCAAATAGTGAATTTATTTATACAGATCCATACATTAAACCTAAAAAAAAATACACTTATGGAGGAAGAGAAATATGGGTCCAAAAGAAGGACAGGTCAGGTCGTAGCCAACTGCAGTGGAAGAAGGGGCATGGGTCAAAAACAAGGGCAGCCAACAACTAGGGCTGGCTGAAAAGGCATAAGGAATATGGGTCCAAAACAAGAACAGCGCAGAACTATGGCCAATTGCAGAGAAATATGGGAAATGAGTCCGAAACAAGAACAGCCTAGTACCAAGACCAATTGCAGAAGAAGAAGCATTATGGGTCAAACACAAGGACAGCTTAGAACCATAGCCAATTGCAAAAGAAGAAGAAGGTTAATGGTCCAAAACAAGAACAGTGTATAAACATGGCCAGCCACAGAGGAAGGAAGAATATGGTTCTTAAAACAAAGACAGCTTAGAACCATGACCAGAGAAAAAAAGGGATATGGGTCAAAAACAAGAACAGCCTAGAACAGTGGCCAATTACAGAAGAAGGGATTTGGGCCCAAAATAAGGACAGCCTAAAACAGTGGCGAATTACAGAAGAAGGGATATGGATCTAAAAAAGTGACAGCTTAGAACAATGGTCAGCTGAAGAGGAAAAAATAATATGGATCCAAAACAAGGACAAATCTGAACCATTATCAATTGCAGAGGAAAAATGAATATAGGCCCAAAACAAGAACAGCCTAGAACAGTGGCCAATGGCAGAAGGGATATGGGTCCAAAACAAGGACTGTCTAGAATCAAAGCCAATTTTATATGAAGAAGGGATATAGGTCTAAAACAAGGACAGCTTAGAACCATCACCAGCTAAAGAGGAAGAAGGAATATGGATCCAAAACAAGGACAGATCAGAACCATAGCCAATGCAGAGAAAGAAAGGGTTGTGGCTTCAAAACAAGAACAACCTAGTACCGTGACCAAGTGCAGAAGAATAAAGGATATATCTTCCAAAACAAAGAAAGTTTAAAAACTATGGATCTAAAATGTGGACAGCTCAAAACCATGGCTGACAGCAGCTGCTCTAACTCCAGTTTTATTTCACGGCATCTTCAGCTCTTCAAAGGGTGTCTTGCCTTAGTAATGCAAAATAAATAGAAATGATTAAACATCAGAATTAAGCATCAAAATCCCCCCAAACACATTAATACTAATTATCTCCTTTGTGACTATAGTTGGATTACAGTAAACAATGACGGACATATTACCAGGAGACACTTTCAGCTAAGACTGCTTAGAAAAGTGCTGACAGCCACTGCCAGGCCCCAGGTCTTTCTCCCAGTGCATTTGTCTTCTGCAATTTTTTGGTGTTTTTTTTATCTTTCCTCTCTGTCTTTTAGTCAAATTCCATAAATGGTGATCAAACATAATTGTGCAGTCCTTGAGCCTCGATCCGCGTACTTAATAATGACAGTAATAATACACTGAATTTGCCCTAAAGTAATCATTTCAAATGAAAGTTTAAATTTCAGCAGAGAAATAATTTAAACAGAATCGAGCTGGAGGTAGAGTATGTACTTCTTCTTTTTTTTTTTGTGGGGGTGGGGATCAGAGCTATAATGTTTTATGTATATATGTTTTTTTTTTTTCTACAGTCACGTATTAAACGTCCTTGCTTTCAAGAAAAAGGTGCCGATTATGAATTAACTCTGGTTTGCAGAATAAATAAGTATCATGCATCATAGTCATGTTGTAGTCATTCTCGAGGGCCAGACTTTAACGAACAAAACTGTGACAATTAATCCACTGAGTCAGAAGTTCCAGGCTCCTGGGAACCCGGTATGGTGGATAGCACTACCCAAGAGTAGGCCAACTGCCAAGAGCGTTAGCTAAAACGAGGCTTGACTCTTTAGGGAGAAGAAAATTTAAAAACAATATTTGTTCATTGACTTTTTTGGTTACTTTGGAAAAAAAAACAGTTTGTGGGTTGGATTAACAACTCTCTGCATTTTTGTTCTTTAAAAAAGTCCCTCCGCGGGAGTCTTAAAAAAAAATACTGCAATACTCACCTCCTTTTTGTCAATGTCCCCTTCAGTAATTCCTTTTGGCCACTAGATGTTCTCAATCTTTCAGGTGGAATGATCTCCAGCCTCATTCAAGAAGAAAGATTGAAGCCATCATGTGAGTGCAAGGTTTTACTATCACAATGCACAAAAGATGGCTGACAACATCATGTCAAGGATGTTCTCTGCATCACTGAGGTTCTTTCACCTCTAGAGAAG